CATAAACCTTTGAAAAGACGCGGGCGCGGAGCACAAACCGAAAGGCAAGACTTTAAATTCGTATAAACCATCTGGGGTCACAAAAGCGGTTTTTTCTTGATCTCTTGGGTCTACCTCGATCTCCAGTATCCACTCCTCAAGTCTATGGAAGAAAAGTAGCGACCATGCCGAAGTCTGTCAAGGGAGTCATCAATACGTGGGAGCGGGTACACATCTTTCTTGGTCACCCGATTCAGCTTCCTGTAGTCCACGCAAAAATGCAGGGTGCCGTCCTTTTTCTTTACTAGCACTACAAGCGATGCCCAGGGGCTCTGTGATGGTTGAATGACATCATCTTCAAGCATTTTCACGGCTTGTTGTATGGCTTCGCGTTCCTTTAAAGCTACACGATGAGGGTTCTGGTGGATAGGTGTCGCCGTGTCCTCGGTGATTATTCAATGCTTTGTCAAAGGTGTTCGACCAACTCATGATGTCGATGAAAAGCAGTCGCGGAATTCGGCTAGCAGCTGAAGAAGTCTCTGTCGCTCGTCCTTTGACAGGGTGATGCCAACGTCGAGAACGGGTTCTGGTTCTTGATTAGGCGCTTCGTCCAATACCGACAAACATAAACTGCCTCGCATTTCTACGATATCGTCGTACGAAGCGATAGCTGCGCCCTTCGGAAGGTGCCGGCGCTCAGTACTAAAGTTGGTCAGAAGTAAATTCGTGCGTCCACCAGTGAGACGGACGATACCTCGTGCAACCGAAATGCCCTGGCTAAATAGCAGCGAGCCAATTTGGTCGGCAATGCCTTCGCTACAAATGCTTCGTGCCCTTCCACCGAAACAAGAGTGCATGACCGTGGCGGGACGACCACATTATCATCAATTATACGTAAAATGTTACATACTGCGTCTAAACAGTCAACTAAACCGGGGCTGTAACGGAACGTAATTGAATGGTCCAGGTTGCTGATGACGGCACCATATTCTCTAAGAAGTCCATCCCTATAATCAAGTCCCTTGCAACATGAGGTGAAGATGACGAGCGTCGCCACGAAAGAAGAGCCACGTTGTCGAGCCTTGCTGTACAGCTTCCGATAGGCATCAACAGCTGCCGCCTGCTGTCCTCAGGCGAGGTCCCGTCCACGTAGTCTTCACTTTTTAGGCGTATGGCAAGCTTTCCACTTATGATAGAAAAAGTCGACACCGGTGTCAACTAAGGCTGTTACTTGCTGTCCGTCTACAGAAATGGTAAGATCTGTGGGTCACAGTTTCGTCGGTGTTACAACTGCTCGACTTACGGCGTCCTGTGGTAAGAGTAACGGGGGGCTTTTTTTTTCAATCGCCTTGACGGTCTGCAAACCTCACCCCCGGAGGTCGCCCCTTTCAGTTTCCCCAGTGTGGACTTGGTGACCTCCTTCCACTGACGTCGGCTGTAGTGCGGTGGTGCGACGAAGGCGAATATGCCAGAGGCGGAGAGCGTGGTCGATGTCCCAAACCTGGCTGGTAATCAGGCACACTGTCGTCATTGTTGGCACGGCGGTTGTCAAAATGAAACTGAGACAAGGGCAGTCCTTGAAAAGGAGCTTCCCGGCGTGGTGCGTAGTCGTCGTTGGCGCGTCGATCATCCGACCATTGCCGAAGAGGTCGAAACGTATCGACACGGTGCCAGCAATGACGGGAAATGTGGCCCACACCTACGCAGGTAAAACAAAGCGGACGCCAATGTACAGTGCGCCACGCGTCTGTTTTACGAAGCTGTGGACGTTGCAACGGCTCGTAATGTGGCAAATGCCGTGTATCATTGGGAGACAGCTCTTGGTACTGCGACATATCGAACGGCGGCACGATGGCAGGGCGCCGCGTTGTCTGTTCTTGCGGTGGCGATCAAGGAACGGCTGCCGATGGCTGGTGGTACGACGGTGCAACAGGTGGCGAAGCGCGGCTGCATGGCTAATAGGTCGCTGATCGTGAGTAGGATCAGCTGTTGAAAATGCTTGGCGTATTTTTTCGCGAACGACTTCAGCGACAGACGCCCTGGGTGGTTCCGTAATCACAGTCCGCAGCTTCAGCAGCTCTTCGCGAACAATCTTTCGTATTGAATTGCGCAACGAGCTTTGATTGTCAGATGTCGTAGCGGCGACTTGAATGTGGGCGCTGCTGGACAAGCGATCGTATTGTCGGCATCGTAGGTGAAGCGCCCGTTCGATAGCCGTAGCTTCTTTGATGAGGTCTGTCAAGGCGCTTGGCGGGTTCCGCAAAAGTTCGGCGAACAATTGCTCTTTAACGCTGCGCATGAGGTAGCGTAACCTTTTGTCGTCGGTCATGTGCGGGTCAGCTCTACGGAAGAGACGGGCCAGGTCCACAGTGAACATTGCGACCGTTTCATTGGGTTTCTGAACCCGTAGCTCGAGTAAATGCTGCGCACGTTCGCGCCGGTCGACATCGGCAAATGTGTCAATCATCCCTCTTTTAAAGTCACTCCATGTTGACAAACTGCCTTCTCTGTTCTCGTACCAAGTTCGAGCGCTATCGTCGAGATAAATATAGGCGCGGGAAAGCCTTTGTTCAAGAGACCACTGGTTGGTATTGGCGACACGTTGATAGTGATCAAGCCAGTCTTCGACGTCTTCATGTACGCCACCACCAAAGCGATCAGGCACCAGCGGTGAAAAAAGGGTTACCTAAGATGGGGTTGGCAAACTACTGTCTCGTAGTAACTGTTGTGGACTGGCAGTGGCCATTGGTAGATGTGAGCGGTGCCTTGTAGAGTGTTCCTGCGATGGGGTGAACTCTGAAGGGAGGCCTCGCAAGCCACGACTGAAGCGATGCACAGGAGTGTCGACAAGTGTGTCCGGGCTGGATGAACGGCTCCCCGTGGGAGTGTGGAGCATTAGGCGGGGTCCAGGCCAGCACCTGTACCAGTGTCGCGGTACAACGCGAACAAAGCACAGGTATGCGTTGAGACAGCGAAAGCAGCGTGTTCTCAATAGCTGAGCCACAAGATTGTCTTCTTCGTTCTCGAGTCAAACCAGAGGCCCACTACCTGGTGTCCCCTAAATCCCCCCCATCATCGTTTTTGTCCACATACATGTAGACATGGGTCAATACGATTGGGCCAGTGTCAGAGATGTCACCAAGACAAGCGATAATCACCTTACAGTACCAGCAGGGCATTGATTTCAGAACTTTGTTTTTATTTATTTGGCAAAAGAGGAGGTTACTTTTGAACTCTGCAAAGAAAAGCCTTGTTTTTGAATATCCCCCTAAACTTCATTGAGGTATGCCAAGGCGATGTGAAAAAGATCCAGACTGCCAGGGCTACAAAAAACCTGCAAAGTTTATTAATTGACTGTTTTATTCATAGAAAAAAAAGATGCCCAATAGTCCCTTCATATATATATAAACCATATTTACAACAATGCAAGCTGAATTCAGAACTAAGAAACAAAAGCAAGGTCGTAAAAGATACTTTTTATCTCTCATTTGCTGGAAACCTGAGAGTGAGAGTGATTAGTAACTGAGAGTGATTAGTCGGGCAGTAGACATGGTAACAGTACAACAATACCAATATAAGCTTTACTTATACCAACTGGTGGTTTTGTTTCTTGTGAAAATCACTGGGAATCAACGCAGTCAAATGTCTTGCATATAGCATGATGTTCAGGACATATGTAAGGCATATTGTTATGCCATTAGGAGAGAAAAAAAAAGCGAGGAGGAATCACATGTCATTCATAAGACCGTACAGGAAAAGCTTTACCGTTGCCAGAAAGGTGTTATCGGCATGAATGAAACACAATCCTTTGTATTATGAACATTAGGCTCCCATATAAATGACACCTTCTTGTCTCATGCAAAGTTTTTACAGCCTTGGCTGAGCTTTGTACATATGTTCAAGGCAAAAAACAACCGCTTCACTTTATTGTAAGCGTAAAGTTACAATGATCGCATAACACATAACACAATTGCAGAACCTTAAAATGCAGGACTCTTTACCGTAGACTTCTAAAAACATTCCAGAAAAGACGTTGTTTGTTGTTAATCTGTCCTATCTCTATTGACAAGCTTTACGCATTAGCTCGTCTCAAAGAATTGCAGCAGTACTAACCGTAAATAATAGAGCATAGCAACTTATTGCTGCAAAATTACATTAAAGAACAGAATACTAACGTAAACGTAACATCAGAATAAGCAACACCAAAACAACTATGGTGACCACTTGTGCATCTGACACCAGCAAAATTGTGCTAGGCGGTAGAAAAGCCCAGAGGTCTCGAAAACATCGCGCAATAAGCTTTAGCCATTCCATAGAGGTGACACACCACGTTAAAAGTTGCGCCTACTTATATTCGGGGCACTTATTCCAAGAAGTGCCCCCAACTGAGAACGCACGTAACGGTTCATTTTACGCATTCAATACACTTGTATTTTTGTGAGCTACTGCACTGAAAACCTGAAGGAGTGGAGCAGGAGGACTTTCTTTGTGGAGGCAATAAATCTTTTCTGCTACGTAAACATTATACTCCAGTTTGCTGTTTTTGCAATGAGTACGTGAACTAAAAAATTTTTTCAGTTTCATCAGAAGGATACTTCTGTGTCGCAACAGAAATTCCAATTTTACACCATAGTTTCTGTTGGTAATGTGTAGCTCTACTCAACGTTTCTGTTGGGAACACTGGATGCTGCGGTGCTGCAAGCACATAGTGCTCAGAAATGATGGCACCCGCGGACAACTATTAGTTTTACAACAAACGCACGGTTCAGAAGCCTGAAAAATTTCATGAACGGTAAAAATATTCAGGCATGAGATGAGCCCAATGCTGCAAAGAACTTGCACAGCAATCTTCAGGGTTTCTGCTTTTCGGTTGGTTTCTGTTTCACTTGAGGCAAAGTTAATTCGTTGACTGCATTTCCGCTGAAACGGCACACTCGCTTTGCACGCTACACCGCCACATTTTCAGTTCACAGTTTGTCGAGTGATACACAGGCAGTCGGGCGACTATCGCCAGCGTAGCCTTAGGCTTTGTAGATGCGGATGAATTCTTGTATGCGCTGTCGAAGACGGGCACTGAGGAGCTTCCTTCAGGAGCTTCAGGCCACATTCGTGGCAGGTCAGCGAGTGGCCACACTTCACAAGCACACTGTCGATTGGCTTCTCGAAGCATATTCGGCAGTCGTCGTCAGGTTCCTCTGTGGAGAAGACAATGCAAAATTAGAGTGATCAGATCCATGGGCTTATTAGTATTTTCTACGAAAATGGAAACAAAGGGATAACAAATGATTCGCCAAAAGTTTTCAGCTCCGTGTGTATTTAGACTGCTGGCCGTCCATTCGCTACAATACCTCGACTCGTTTCATCATGCGGGTTCAATTAATAGCTATAAAAGCACAATTTAAGTTCCCTGGTCTGCAGTCCCTAAAGCTCTACAGCTGATGTCACCCGACCGATCTCCGCCAATCAAAAGTCCCTGTGTCGACAAAACATGGCGATGTAGCGATGCCTGCCGATATAGATGACTCAAGTTCAGAGCATAGTACAGTTTTGAGTTTGGTGCTGTAAAGACGTCACACGCACAGGCTGTGATGACCGTCCAACACTAATGCATGCAAAGCTAATTAGATTACTACACAAAATAACAAAACAAGCCTACAATGCACGTGCCCACATGTACTGCCCCTAGCTGAAAGAACCCAGCCGAGCGTGACACCAGTTGGACTGTGTTAGAAGAGGCAAGCGTGACACCAGTTGGACTGTGTTAGAAGGTGATGCAGGCTCAATCTCTACACCCCAAATATTTCAACACCGGAATCAGCATGCTGTCGGATTTTGGACTTTGAGCACTACTGTGAGACAAAAGATTGCTATAATATTTTATTAGTTCATGCATTCATAGCAAGCGAAGGTTAACAAAAGTTCACGATTTACAGTGGTGGTGTCTTCAACCAGTGCTCTTTCGAACCTGCAATTTGAACAGATAGTCTGAAAAATCTGACAATGAAATGCAAGAAATTTCAGACGTTTTTATGCATTAACTTCACAGGGGGGCGTTCGCGGAGCTTGTGGTACCGTAGAAGGGTCTGAATTTTCAAGCACATTCGAAAAGTCGGCAGTTGAAAGTGTAATGAAGCAGCTTTTATGCTGTAACTTCTGTTATACTGAGGTTAAACAGCGTTACCGCTCTAGTATCAAGATTAGCAGCACTAATACTGTTTAGCCGTCCTTACCAAGTGGTTTTTTGGGCGCTTTCGCAGTGCTCTTCTCGACGATGGGCTGCTCTGTGCTTTGCTCTATTTTGGTTACGGGTGGTCCTCGTTTGCTCCCTGCAAGTTTATAATGTCTTTTGTAATCTTTCTTTTATACAAACATAAAAGGAAGAAGAGTATCAGAAAACGTGGCCAACTATTCTAGCATCCAGTATTTAAAATTTACTTCACTGCTTTGCGCACCAGAACTCTGCCACGATCATTAGGTAAGCCATAGCGGGATACCAACAGATTATTTTTGCCATCTATATTTATTTAACTGATGTGGGCCTAAATGTAAACACAGAAGGGTTTTGAATCTTAGCCGGCGTGGCCAGGAAGCAAACATTATCAAGCTTAGCAGTGTGATTCTAGCTGCTAAAGTATCACAGCACGTCTGAAACTGACACGCAGCAAAAGCCTTGTTTTACTGTTAAAGAAAAGGCAATCGTAAGCTTTCTGCACCTTAATTTTTGCTTTCCACACAGAAGGAGATTCATTAAAAAAAACACTGCAGACACCAATGATGACACTGACAAGTAAGGCAACCACTGTTGTAAGCTCCAAAAAGCATTTTCATTAAATGAAGTGCACTTTCAGGGTTTCAGAATGAGATGGTAATCAATTAAAGGTAGAAGTTAAAGATGAACTTAAAGGTATATATTGTGCAATGGCATACTTTCGCATAAGAAGATTCACTTGTGTGCAACAAAAGCCCGATACAACGAATAACAAGATGCAAGTGACTGTCACTTCCGGAATCGCCCATAGTGATGACACAGCTGAACAATTAAGAACGGCACTCGTGAGTTCTGTAAAAAAGTTAGCACTATTTGTCAAAGCATCATTCTATTTCAACCTGAAATGCAACTTCATGCATGAAAACACAATGTAAAGTAGTTGATTAAATATTTCCAATCTCACACTTTGGACGTGTTACCGAACTGCAGCTAGTGCAAGCACACTAAACGCTCATAAAGTTAAAAGCTCCACGAACCGTCATCCCCAGTGACAAAGGTGAGTTCATCATTGAGTAAACAGGGAATGTCCTTCTGGAAGACCCAGTACTCTGGCCGATCGAGTAGTGCTTCCAGGTCGGCAGGGAGTTCAGATGCAGTGTGTTGGAGAGATGCCGGATTGCATGTCGTCAGGCCAAAGGCCAGAGAACCGGATAGCAGTTGGTCCATGCCTGTCACCTTGATTGTAAGCCGCTCATTCGGACAAAGGGTGCGCGAAGCGAAGACGAATGCCCGCTGCTCTCCAATGTCGCAACGTTCTGCGACTAGCCTGTAAAGGATAACATTAATAAGGTTGTCGGAAAAATAATGCGAGACAAAAACCAACTAATGCATAAATGCACACTAGGCGCTTCATGTAAACTAAAAAAATTGTATACAGAGCAGCAAAATTACTTTCTGTCTCCTGGTAGTCAGCCATAGCAATGTTACTTTTTTTTCGGGTAATATGCCCAAAATTGTATTAATACAGTAGACTTTTGTTAAATTGAACCTAGAGGAACCAGGAAAATATGTTCTGTCAGGAGATGTGTTTACCAATAGACGTGCGGAAACAGGTACAAAACCAATCATATTAGAAGCAGCGATTTCATTCAAACAACAAATCTGTCCAAAAAATTTCACTTTACCGCACGCGTACTTATCTGATATTACCCACAATGGCCTTTGCTGATGCATGAAAAATGGCCGAGAAATTCACTCGAACAACTTCCTGGCAGAAGCAATCATTACAAAGCGTGATCTTTTTCAGGCAGCGCCAAAGTGCCAGGCAACTTCCACTCACTTGTCCATCGGGTCTAGCCTGCAGTTTGGACCTAGCACACTGTGGAACACCAGACGCTGCCAAGTTGCACTGCTAGGAGCGTGCATGGTGGTGGGACGACGGTGGGGCGGAGATTGCAATGGCGTGCCGTCAAGTGTATCCAAACTCGATGCCTGCGTATTGCACAAGATTCAGGTAAATCTGGGCAGGCTAACCTGCTGAAAATTGCTATAGCCTAGATGCAAGGCAAAGCCTTGGTCAAAAGTTCCCAGGCCACGCTTCCAAAGAAATACATGGCATAGTGGTCCGGGAACGTTTGATTTTCATGACTGCTGGTGCATTACTTGTCACCGGTAATCCTGCAAAAATTCAGGCGACAGGCCCATATTACGTTGCAAGAGCAAAACCCGAATACTTCTAAAAAAAAAAACGCATAGAGGGACTCTTGGATTTTCTAAATTGTGGCACCTAGCCGGCAGCCAAACGTCGGCCAGCTAGTTCCAATCCTGACAGGAAACAATGCTGCGGTCACGAGTGTTGAAATTCCAGGGCCTGCTTAGAACAATTTAGACTTTGACAACAACAAAAAGGCAGCAGAAGCACATGCAAATGTTCAAGGAATCCAGAAGAATAATTTTGTAGGCAATGTTTTACAGCAGAATGAGGGTTTAAGTGCTAAAAATGATGAATACAACAAAGCGATTAAAAAAAAAAGAAGAAGACGAGAATAATTCTTTTTTCAGTAACCTTTAGTTGTGCTTAATGCTTTGATACATACAAAATGATGAACCACGATGTGTTAATTTCGTTGTAATAACAGCTTTTTTGTCTCAACGAAGCTGATGAAACAGCACAATTTACAATCTCTGCAACATTATTTGCTGCTGTCCCTGCACGCTGGACCATTGGTTGTGGCTTGCATTTCCTATCTGGCACGTCAATGGCTGCCTACTCTTCTTTGTGACTTCGTACATTGGGCTCGTAACTGTGGTTTCTTCACATATTAAAGTGGTTCGCATCATCAGAGGTAAGTCATTGCTGGTGAATGGACCGCGACGCGAATGCATACTGTGCACCTATGTGACGGCGTGCGCACTTTTAAAGACCGTGGCCGGCTGGCTCGCTAGCCCTCGAAAGAGAAAGCCGCATCGTGACAACTTCCAACTCATGTGGGTCAAGTGGCTTGGCGCACACTCACAAATACATAGAAAAGACCCCTGCGGGAGATTAAAAACTGAGGACTTCTTTGGTGTAATGGTACAGTGACAGCTCGTTTTTACCATTTTCACAATATTTCATAAGGTGAGGGGTTTGTTACTGTCTTGTTTATTGCTCTTCGGTAAATGATGACGCTTGTTTCTGTAAAGGCGCTGTCTGACAAAAATGATGTCGTTGGATTTCCCGTTTCGGAGACTCGCAAAAATTGCTTTGTTGTCTCATGCAGACTGCATCAAAAGTGGCGTTTTTGCCTCTGCGTTTCAAATTAACGTCACTTCGTAACTTTTACAAGTGTTTGAATCGCACAGACATCAACATGTAATGATACCGTATTTATTTGGATCTAGGCCAATAGTTTTTTTTCAAATTTTTTTCTATCAAACTCCAGGGTCGGCTTTGATTTGAGAATTTAAAAAAAAAACGCGCCATTTTTCACTGACAAAAGTGATGCACACCTAGGGCCACCTAGATGGTATTGTAGTCGTTGTTAGCCGAGTCAACACCTGGTGTAAGTACACACATGAAGCCGCCATTTTGATCTTTGTGGCAAGTGTTGAGGAGAGCAGTCTGTCATTTCGAGTCATGCTTCGAGTACACCGCACACAAGTGTGTGTGGTGTAGCTCATTGGTGCCAAAAGAGGCGCTGTCATCGTAATGCCGCTTATAAAAAGAAAACTGTCCTAGCCGCAGAGTCATCATGCAATGTTCAAGCGGGCCGGACTTTAGAGTGGACAAATAAATGTGCGTCACTGGAGGGGCTACACCGTGGGATGACATCCCAGGAACTTCGATTGTGCACTCTTTTAAGAATAGCGGCATATCCAGTGTGCTTGATGGCACAAAGGATTGCGCACTGTTTGAAGACAGCGTCAGGAAGTCGGCAATTACGGCTCAAAATGAACGTGGAATCTGAAAGCACGGCATCTTTATGATGCAAATAGCTAGAAGCGGCGTAAAAAAACTACAAAGAAACACACACAACTGGACTAGGGCCTGTATGTCTCTCGAGTAATTTGTATCACAGACCAACTGCTTTGTTTCATTTTTATGTTCAATAAATGTTTTCTCTATGTGAACGCTGCCTTGGCTGTTTTGTTCAGCCTACATTCGAGACAATTTTTTTTTTTTAGGGCTTTGGACTTTTGGTGGTCGGCTTAGAATTGGGGTCGGCCTAGATTCGAGTAAATACAGTAGTCATTTATGCTTTTTAAGAACTTACCTTGCTGTTACAAATACACCATGTGTGTGTAACAGCACAATTTTTTTTCCCTTTCCATTCACACAAAAAAAACTTTTTCGGAAATTCATCGAATTTACTTCAACAAGATAAAAAAAACACATTTTTTTGAGAAGCACTTGACAAAAAAAAACCCTCAAGGGTTTTTTGGTACTTTAAGTGAGCATTTTTACATTCGAACATAAAAGAAGATGGCTGCCACAATTGAGTAGCCAACACAATGCTACAACCAGAAAGCCTAAAGTAGGTGGTTTACAAGAAACCTGGATATTAACTTCAGCAGTAGCGAGAGAGATGGGAAAAATTACGACAAAAGTGAACTCCATGGGGGTGCAAGTTCAATGCATTATGTTGCAAGTGGTGCTGGTAAGGTAGACATTCTTCTGCAGTAGCCACAACAAAAATTACAGATAGACTAATCAAATCCCATACATACATCGGCAATCACTGGAGCCATCGCTGCTGTCTCTCTAGAATTAACCAATTCCATCTGTCGAATAAGGTCCTCCACACCGCCAGTGTTTAAGGCGACTGCAAAGTACAATCAGAAGTTGTTATGAGGCACGTTCAACGCGAATTTACATCAACTTAACTGATGCGTAAATGTGAATGCATGCAGCTAGCAACACTTAAAAGCAAGAAGACAAATTATCCAGGGCAGTTATAAAACAGAACCAAATATAGTAACTGATCAGTAATCTAGACATGCCGAATTATAGGGGTGACCTAACTTTTGGGCGAAATGCAGCCCCTTGTGCCATAATCCAGACACATCAGCTTTGATACTGCTAGGCCGAGTGGTCAAGCAGGAAGGACATGTTTGAATATTGATACGTTGACAACACACCTTTTCCGAACTGAAACTACTGAAGCGCTGATGGGCCTAAGGCTGAGGACAAGCAAAGCTAATCCAAGTGACCAAGTCACAAAAGCATATGTCCAACATTAGTTAACACGTTAAGCAGTGAGAGTATTTTTCAAGCAATTTTGATTGGCGCAAACTATAGCCTCAAAGTGCATGCTCGACAAAAATGGAGTGTTGAAGCGACAAAAAATGACCGATGTGATCACAGTGGTAATAGACGTTTATGATTCGATGTATGATGTTCAAGTGCACACAGAGGTTTGTAATCTACATTTAGCAGCAGCATGACAATAATAGAGATATGAGCCGCGATTCTGTGGCAGTGTCTTTTGACTACATTTAGTGCCACAGTTATTGTTTACTGTGTGTGGCCAACTGATGAGACTATAAAAGTAAGTGGCAATTTGCCTCAACTGACAATGTCTAAACTAAAGATGAAATCGCATTGGAAAATGTGCGGTTACAAATTTTCGGCCACAGGCTGATCAAGGTCACAGCTAAGTGTGCGTAGCAAAGTGTTAGCAAACTCGAGCCACACTCCTACACAATCTCTTTGAAGGTTACTTTACCGTTTCGCAATACATTCGAACCCCTGCTTATAAAAGACACTGATATAAGAGACAAATGGGTATAAGAGATCCCAGGGTGCCCACAGTAAAATACGGTTGATAATAAATTGCATGCATGGTACCTTGCTTATAAGGACGTCGCATATAAAATACAAGAACTGCTTCCCGGAGCTTCCCCCTTTAAAGAGGTTAAACTGTATTTTCTGGACCTGCATTGTTTCGACAAGAGAAAACGTTTCCAGAAATGTGATAAGATAAAAGTGTGCTTGGTCTTGTTCCAAGAATGTCTTTGCTCATCTACGCCAGTGCGTTTATGCTAGTTACAAGAAAATTTTATTCCCGACAATGATTACCAGAGGATAATACGGTTCATTTTTGTTTTCTCTAGCCGTTTATAGTTTTTCCATCATTCATGCAAGCAGGACTTATTCTTTAATGCTGCAACTGCAGCCATGAAGAAAACCTGTTGTCGAAAAGTAGGCTCCAGCGGTACACCACATGTAGCAAGAATATTTAATAGCTAGAATACTACAGTGATCGAAGTCAAAATCTTCAACTCTGACAAATAACTTACCATTTCGAATCATTTCATTTCGGTTGTTCAGTAATTGCTCATCCTCTGCAAGAAAAAAAAAAAAAGCATTAGAAGTGATTGGTGCATTCTTCCTACTGCCCACATGCTTGGACATTTTTGTGTGCCTTTCAATTCAATGTAAAATGAGAAACCATTACTGACTGCACTTTAAGAAAAAGTACGATTTCAAATTATATCAAGATGTAATCACGGATGTGCATTAGTGTATCCCAAGTTGTTGCCTCCGAGCACACCTTTTTATAAGCTCAAAGCATGCTTGTAAATCAGGAGGCGACAACAGATTAAAAGGCGAGCCTAACTTTTTTAATCGAACACTTTTACGGACTACCAACAGTCCTCTAGCATGTTTAATGAGGTTAACAAAATAACAAGGTAAAAAGATAAAACTTCACCAAAATTAAAACAGGTAGATAAAGAACTGTATGCCCTACAAATGAAACACACTCAAACGCACTCAAAAAATAAAAAAATCTTTATGACTCGTATGGTACGTGGATTCACAAGTAATTTTACTCAGCTATGTTAATTTGTGCACTCAGATTTAGCAATGTTGTGCTCAGCACTTGAAATTAGCAATATACTTAGCTCAGCCTGGCTTACTTAGACTCATACTCATGGGTCGACCGGAGCCTTTGTGATAATAACTGAGCGAGTATGCTGGCTCGTGAACCCAACGCACAGAAAACGGGAGACAAACCTGTCATGGTTCAGTTTCCAGTGTGTAGAAATTTAGGTAAATGTTTTTAAGAGGATACAGAGGCAAGCAAAGTATATTTAAAGCCGCTTACCAACCATCTTGATGGCTGTGGTGTTTCCATAAATATCAATAAGTGCCCATAGAGGTCCCCTGACATCAACGCCATTCAGAAAAAGACCCTTCTCTTCACCATTGATGCCAAAGAAGACCTCACCCGCGTTGTTGACATAGTAATGCAGCAATGTGTCTGCCACGGCGTACCTGCAAAAGTTAGCGCAATCTGCAAGCTGAAGGCGTCAACAATGATACTCATAAACTTAATATTTTAGGACTTACTGCAAAAATTCTTTCTTCAAAACTATTTTTTTTACACTTGCTACGTTGCCCTAATTACATAAGCAAGCCAAACCTTGTACAAAACATTCCAGGACAGCACTAACTACAAAGGCATATAAAGAAGGCTTTTGCTAGATTTAACAATTGAGCACCCATCAATCATGTGGCCAATACAGGCGAAATAGTAGGCAAAACTTTGTGCAATTGGGTAAAAAGAATAAAAAAGTAATCTCTGTGTGAGCATATTAACCTAGGAAGAACAGACCACCTGCAAAAAGAGACTTATGACAAAGAACCGCACCTTTCGCCCAGTGCCTTGGCCCAGTTACCGGGCCTGTTCGTCAAATCCGGGCATGCATATTTCGGTAGAGTTCCCTGTAGAGTGCTAGGGTCATGGGACGTGAAGCCCAGCCTGTTTAAAGAAAAGCAAGTGGAAGGATGAGTCGGGCAATAATTTCAGTTTTCAGCAATTCACCGCTGTCATTTTTAATCAGCCCATGCACATAAATACCTCCTTATCACTGTGTCGCACTGCACATTAGTACCATTTCAAAATGCTTCAAATGTAACACTTTGCTTGGCTCAGCTGTGCATGCGGAGGCAGTTAGCCACTTTGATAAGCGCAAGGCAAGCTCCCATGCCACAAAAATCCTCGGATACTGAGATGGTTACTTTACGGTGTCATTAGGAGGTACTTATTTATTTATGCACCAGACGCACAACAAAAATTACGCTGCATGTTCTTGGTCATGGCTACAAGAGGCACTGCTAACACACTGAGAGATGGCAAACACGCGGAAACATACAAGAAAGTGAACCGGAGAACGGCCACTGCAGTAGCACAATTGGTAGAGCATTGTATGCATAACGCGAAGTCTATCGGTTTTCCCCATCAGTCGAGAGTTCTTTCGTCCACTTCAATTTCCTTTAATTTCATAAGTACAATTAAATTTAAACTATCAACAACGACCCCCATGCTTTTCCAGTCTTCGTGTGGCTGTGTCTACCAAGATGAGGCTCCTTGTTCCAGACCCAGCCATACTTCGTACAAACTCAACGAGAAAAGGTGTATTATTTGCAAGCATTTCACTTATCGAGAAAGATGCATGTTGCCGCAAGAAGGAAGTGCGGCAAATCAGGGCCAATCATTGCACATATTTTTGCACCTACCACTTTCAGTTTGTGTCGCATCAGTGAAATGTTCACTTGCAATCCGAGCCAACACCATTTTTATTAGCCAGATTGGCCTCATCACAATGTGGCTATCTCGAGATTCTTCACAAACCACTAGATAAAAACGAATTTTCGAAGCCCGGTTCCATTCTGTGAGCTTTGTACAGATGTGTCACAATCAAGTTACAGGCAGCCGCTTAGTTTCGGCCGCAGTATCACTTTTTGTTCCCTGTTTACGTGTAACATTTTTTCTTTCGCAGTTGTCTCTGACCCATAGGAACTTTCATTGTGTACCGAGACAGTTCAAGTACTTTCATATATCAGCAGGCTGAAGCTTATTGATGATGGAAGAGCACTTGCCTCAGTGCCCCGCTCCAACCGTTAGAGAGCTCTGTGATGCGTAGCACCACCCTCTCATTGACCTGCACCGGCCTTGAGCTGAAGACAATAGCCTTGCAGAAGCTTTCGGCTCGGCGTGCCACTTTGCCACCTTGCTCCAAGCGCACGTTTTCGCCATGCACTTCGTGGAAGCCCATTGGCTGGCCACTGCTGAAAGATGTTGTCCCAGCTGTTCCTAGAGGAGTCTGTGACACTGTGAACATCCAGGAGACAAGATAATGTTGTAACTGGCCACCGCTACATTACAGAATGCTGTTAGCTTTAACAAAGGAGTGCGTGGGAGATGACTTGTATGGTACCTATAACAGTATATATATATATATTTCTGTCATCTGCACACTTATTCTCTTCCTATACATAGCTTGCACCTACGTCACTCAACGTTACTGCTTTGAACAATCGGCCATTTTTATGAACCGCGGTTAATTAAACTTACTAGTTTCTTCCTCCACGACGGTTATGGGCGCAATCGCAGGTTGCTCTAATCGCAGCCACAGTTGCGGAAGAAGCAGCCCACTAGCTTCTTTTGAAAACCGAAGGTTTTTGAACACCAGTGCGAGTGTACAGAAACGGTCAGCACGAACCGCCGGAGGACTGGCACGCATAAAATAAGCATTTCGCCGAACAAATAGACGTGTGTGTGGAGCTCACTACGTAGAAGGTAAGCTAATGAGAGAGGAAGCGACCGAGGGAGGAAGACAGAAAAGTGACAGTCTCGCTAGGATGGAGGTGAAATGCTAGAGGCCCATGTTCTCTGCGATGTCAGTGCTCATTTAAGGTCAAAATTGCCGCAGTTCTCAGCACGAGTGCCTCCAATTCCTTTAGTGGTTTTGGCACTTAAGACCCAGTTATTATTTGTACCAATCAGCTAAATCTATCTGGTCCACCTACTCCTGTTCAGACAACTTGATACTAAATATTCTGTTATGAAGGGTTTTTCGAACAGTTGAAAGCCAGTGTGACTTACTGGCAACAACATAAGCAAGCTGCCCAATGAACTATCAGGGGGCACTTTATTGGGTGTTTCCGAAATTTTTTTGGATGGTGAGGCTTTTATTACCTCCTCTCAAAATAGGAATTTCTGTTGTAATACACAAGCTCGGGCAAACACTTTCTTGAAAGCCACTTCGAATGGAAGTGTCGTGCCGTAGTTCCAAGCAGCGAATCCAGCAGCACTAAATGAATCACCACATGCGAATTATATAATTGCCTACGATGTGTGTAAGTGCACAAAGAACGATGAAGGATTGGTAGTCTACATATTTACTTAGTGGTAGCATTAGAGATTTTTTTTCTTTTTTTAGTGAGGCAATAGCCTTGAAAAATTTCTAGAGCCCAGTTGAGTCAATAATTCTAGTTGAGTCTACACCCAAATAAAACTGACGAAAATGAAAAAGCAAACAATTGCATCCCATAAACAACTAACAGGATAGCTCAGTAAACTGCTTAAATGTACACCAAACGTACAAACTTATTTGCGAGCCGTATGTAAGTATGTTTCACGTGATACACTGAACCGCAATTAACACGTTTTTTTTAATAATGATTAATTTTAGTGCGGTCATACGGTTACTCCTTAAGTACGCGCGGTTCTGCAGCAATTACAGTGTTCTAAAAATGTAATTTGCTGGTTGCCAGCCACTACAAGTACGCTTTTGCCTCAGCACCTGACTAAATTGGCAAGAACGCGGTGCGATTAGTTTTCGATATAAAGTAGCAGAAACGCAACCGCGCGGCGTTATCGATAAGGCCAGATCTGAGCTAGTACTGCCGGAAATCGCCCTTCATAAGCGAAACATTTGCAGCAATATGGCTTACCGTATGGTATACGCTCGTATATTCGGAAGTGTGCCGATAATGAAAATAGTTTCAGAACACCTACTTTGAAGCTATAAATACTACGCGCACGTCATTGAATTGTAGAGACAGCGCTTTCTACGAGCGATGACTCTCTCGGTAGCCAAATGCAGTCTTATTTATCAGTAGGTGATGACATAATTGCGCGTAACCCACATCATTCGCGATAGACACACTGCAAACACGACCGAGCAACGACGAAAGTAACGCGGGAAGCCCAGCATTTTAGGCCTGTGAGCGCACAAATTAAAAAGGGCGTGTAGGAAGGAAATAAAAGCAATCGATAACGAAGAGATTATACGAAAATACGGGGGACTGAGCTTCAGCAAGTATGCAGTCAAACAAAACCTAAGCAATGTGGCGAGACAAGCATTACACCTTCGCTTTCGTCGCGCAAGAGCAGGTGTTATCGGGGGAACAAGGAAGACCCCACCAAAAAACGGCCGCTCGAATGCTTTCTCCGTAAAGCCAACTTTCTTAAAAACCTGTCGTGTCCCCAAGCGCGAGGCGACGAGTTCCGAAACCATGCCAAGATTTACGCCCATAGTTTCGCGTTGCATCAGCGGAAGCAAAACGTTCCCGCACATTTTTTTTTTCCCGACACGAACGGCCGGTCACAGTCCGTTTTGGGTCACTCTAGGTCACGAATATTTGAACCGCAAAAGCATAAATTATCAAGTGAAGAGTGCCCGTGCAGCTTCGCCACGCCCATAGGGGATATCAAATATGTAAAAACACTGTACGAGCGGTTGATAAGAGGGTCGTAGCGAAAATGCCTGGCACTTACACTGTGTCGCGTTGGTGTTGCCCATGTCACTGACGCATCGAGACGAATTGTTGTCGCGAAGGCTGCACTACATATTCCAGTTGAACAATAAAGCACGCTTCTTGGAGCTGCTGCAAACCGGTACGCACAGGTGACACCCAGAACGAACTTTTGTACGCCGAAAAACAACTCGGCAAGCGCACACACTTCGCTGGCGGGCGCACAGCAGTGGCCAGATTTTGATTTGGCTAGAATGAAGTCTTCGCTTCGACTGGCTTTGACTCGATGACAAGTCGCGTGGTCACGGACAACGTTACTGGATGGAGCCAGTTGGGAAACTGCATGGGCTCGCCACGGAAGCGGCGTGGCCGCTCACAGTCTCCCAAAACGCGGGGGCGCTGCGATCGCTTTGCGACCTGGTCATGTGACGAGCTTCGTGCGTCGTCTGCTCGTCGTCTGTTCCGCGCCCCGTCTCCGAAGGACGGCGCAGCGTTTTTGGAGCACTTCATATCTCAAGGAATCTTGTTAGCGGATGCATATTGAGAGCTTCCTGCTACAACCACTGCATAGATGAAGGTGGACACAGCTTGGAGCTCTGAACGAAGTCTGAGTGGTTCTTTTTGCCACGTGCTGATGGTGCTGACTGCATTCCGCAGGTGTTTCGATGTGATGAGCTTGTGCTTGCCTAATGAATAGGTGCCTCCGAGAGCATAAACTGAAATTTCCTGAAAATTTTTTTGAGATCGCATTGCTCGTGCAGTCCTTACATTGAGCGTTTTCTATAAAAGCATGCTCTTATTTGAAAGCGACAGTAAGCGTTCTAAATGAAACAGTCGCGAGTTCTGAAAACTTGCGCATGTTTTATTGTATACAATGCCGCTGCATTTACGCTGCGGTGCGTTATCTGTGTGGCTTGTCAGGGAGAATAATACGATGATGTATATCTTACGAGACAACTCACTTTTTTTTTTTTGGTTCCCAGCACAGCAATCTTTTGCAGAAGAAACACGTAGTTACAAACAAATTTTAACAGAATGGTTCGTAACAGTCGGCTTGTATTTTTTAAATGCATACCGTTTGTAAGTAGATACAGTTTTTAAATTGTGCAAATTCAACTATTTTATTAAGTGTACTTAAGTAAAGTGTGGGATTGGGCTAGTTGGTAATCCATATAAAACTTCTAGGCGCGTAAAACTTCAGACAACTAACACAAGAGACGAGGACGAGCGCAGACTTTCAACTGATTTATTACTACTACGACACACATATATATGTTAGAAAGAAGATAAGATCACTTGCTTAAAAAAAAAAAAAAAAAAAAAAAAAAAAAAAAAAATCAAAAGGCGAAAAAAAAGTTTTACGCGCCTAGAAGTTTTATTAAGTGTAAAGATTGTTTTTCCGATTGACAATTAAATGTATCGAATGTGCATGACTAGGAACACGGAATGCCAATCGAGTGGATATGAATTAAGGAGCTTGGAGAAGCTCCTTCATCTCTTCGTCACCTCTTCATGAAGGGAGGAATGCAATCGAATTAAAAAGAACAGCGTCATTTTAGTTTGACACTCGAATACCCAAATTTCGAACCAATGACATGCGTCGCCGGTAAGCTGGCTGTGTTCTACGTGGGACTCCTGCTAGGTTATTTAATGCTGTTCCGATGTTCCCGTGTCCTCATTACAGCCCTTAATTCACTGAGATCTGTGCATGTTGCTGTGCAATAACTGTAAGAAAAGCCACCAAACACATTTGTTCAAGTTCCTGTTTTTTTTTTTACTTGGCAACATTTCTGTGTTAAATCACTGCGTAGTTTATTGGTGCGTAGTCTAGAGAAGTTTGGCTTTCTTTTTTGTAGAAGACACCCTGCCAGAAGCACTCAGCTTCTTACAAACATCTCTCGTAAAAAAGTGCATTCTCAAAACAACGTATGAGTGTACAATCTCCGATGTCAGGATGTCCTTATGAACTGAACAACCAACGCTTGGAACATCGCAGTCTTTGATGACATCCAGCGCATCCCAAAACATGTCGGCGCACAGATGGTTTTCTCCTAGCACGAGAGACAGTTTTTCTTCGACGCGTTTCAACATTGTGTAAAGTTCTGTAGAGGGATGCTTGAGGCTTCCGTTCCTGAATTCTCTTGCCAATGTCAGTAGTGAAGCGGGGAATTTAGTGTTTGTTGACTGGATGCTGCTTATGCAAGCAGCGCAGTTGACGTGCTTCAGAAAAGAATGTACAATGTAGCCGCAGAGGTAATATACGACGCACTCCTGTACTGCTGGCAAAGCATATCCGTGGTCCGGAAGCGGTGTCGGTCCCGAGTGGGATGCTGAACTTATTCCAGGCAAGCAAACCTCGGAAATCTTTGCGCTGATTGTCTCACGCAACTTTTCATACGTTGCCAGCTGCTGCTTCTTCCCTTGCTTCATCGTCTCTTGCACTGTGGCTAGTATTAAGGTTGGCTCCTCTTGGACATTGCCTGCAATCGAAGCCTTGACAGGTGTGTACAGGCTCAGCAACCTGTAGATATGGGAAAAGCTCAGGATCGTCGGATGGTCTTCGTCACCTCCAAAGCTCCTGGTGATTCCGAAGAACCTCTGTAATGGTAGTAATAAAGCCGTACGTCAGTTCACCGTATGTATCTCTTTCAGAAGTCAAAGTACGCATGGCGTATGGAATGCATAAAGAGGATTTATAGAGTGCAAGTCTCAGGCGGGAATTGCACATCTCACATAGAGATATGACGACTGTTTAAAACCACGCTATGCTTCCTCATAACCGTTTTGTTTATTTTCCATGCAATGAAGTAAGTGCGCAGTTTTATGGAATTATGCTAATCTCACCTCCAAGGGGTCTTGATTAAGCTTGCCTGTGAGCACGTAGCGTGCACCTTTAGCAAGGAGGTCATTTGTTAGTTCCAAGATAGATGACAAAGTCACCCTTAGAGACTCCATTGTTACTTGAGATGCGAACATGGCTGTTCCTTTCTCAACGTGGTTTCTCTCTGTCAAGTCCAAGATAATCATGAAATCTTGGATGATCTAGAAAAGGGAAAAGTTTATGTTAGACATTACTTTTTTGTGCAAGCTAGCTCTTACATGCAAACGTCGACGCCTATAAAAAAAGGGACCTTTGAAGAAAGGCATAAAGTTATTTTTAACCTGATTTTTTAATGAAACATGTGTGCCACTGAATGAAAATGGAAGCTGGTAATACTTGAAATCACGCTTGCGGCGTGTCGCCTTCTCATCGACGTTTATTTCAGTTATCTGGAAGGAGAAGTTCTAAGTTCCAAGACATTTATTCGTCGTCTTTCTTTCAATAATACCTTCCTTCAATTACAAAATAAATGTCTACTTAAACTAGGCTTTTGTTGGTGTAAATGTTTGTCGGCGTTTTGTATTTTATTTATATGCCCAGTGCCTCAGTTCTTGATTAACATTACCTATTGCGAATGTTCTTCAAAAGTAGCACATTTTATCGCCCTTGCCTTAATTTCCTTGGATGTGCTCCTTATCCCAAAACGAGGAAGCTTGATGTTCAGGGCATCAAAAAGGTCATTTATGATGCGGGTAAACGCGGCTGTCCCCTCGCAGTCTTCCAGGCCATCTTGCTTGAGTCTCCGGTACACATCAAGGCCGATAGCCGTACTTCGGCTGAGCAGCTAGGGGACAGAAAACGTATAGGGGCATTTTATTAATCGCAAAAGACTTAAGGAGAACACTTCACAGTACCAGTTAAGTTTGTGTTTCACATGTGAAGAATTTGCCTAAATAATCAGGTAAGCTATAAGTTCTTTCAAAGCAGCTTTTCGTAATCTTACCTGTACTGCGAGCTTCACACTCATTTTTCTCATGTTGTCAGGGCAGACGTGTTCAGCGGTAAGCTTCGGAACAATGCGGAGTTGCTCTTTGCCGTCTACTTCTTGCAAAACTCGGTAGTGGTCATAGTTTATGCGATGTTCACCAATCTATGAGCAAGAAGAAGAGAGGGAAAAAAAAGTCCGTCAGTCGTATGTAGTGCTGCGAAGAAAATGTATTTTGATTGGCACCGCGACACTATTTATTGCGATATTGTACTGTACGTGGTACTTACCATGCCATATTTGTGTCGAAGAAGATGGTTTCTAATGCATTTGACAATGTGGGGTACATCGCAAAGGAAGTAGAGGCTTTGATTTGGCTCGCATGGGTGCTGAACTTTGTGGTTTGCTGTGTGAAGCTTTCCTGATATGCCAAAGTTGGACCACATTGCTTTGTTCGTGCTGGCGCCATCACTGATTACTGCGACGACTATGGCGTTGTGTTTGCGTAGCTGCACGATTGCATCAAGAACTATTTTGGCGAGCACGTGTCCGGGGGCTGCGTTTTTTGTTGCAAAACTTGCAATCGGTTGAACCCATGAGTGGAATAGAGGCACAAACATTGCAACCAATGCATGATCAGCAGTAGCTGCTGAAACTTCACCGTCTCCGTAATTTACGAACCCATCAATCTTGTATGTTTGACGGTTGAAAGCTACGGCTTGGCGTACCTTCATTTCATCTATTACTAGTGTGCCGTAACACTGGACTCCTTTCATAGTCTTCATGAAAGCCCCTATGCTGGAAAGGGAGAGCTTATTAAAGCCAAACTCACAAGGCATTCCTCTTATTATTTGTCGGAGCCTAGTCGAAGTTGGAAGAGGGAGGATTTTCATTCTTGACATCAAGCGGTACACACGTGGGCTTGAAATCTTCAAGAGAAGGCAACTCAGCAGCCACCCACAGTCATACCGCACACCTCTTGAAGATTTCGCTTTCATCGACTGCAGTGCTGTCCGAAATGCAAGTTGCTGCAGTGGTGGAAGTTCAGCTAAAACCTCGCTCAACAGTGCATTGCTTGGATCTGATGACAACTTTTTTTTCAAGCTTAGCAGGTCCCTCTTGTATTTCTCCCGCAGCACTGTTGCTCTTATAGTCTTCTTTCTTAAATTTCTCAACAGCGCAGATGGCAAAGGCACGTACTTGCTCTTTCTTGAACGTCGTTTCTGCCTGCACTGCAAGTTCTTTTTTGCTTTCCTGCACTGAACGCATAAGGCTTTCGCCGACAGCACTGCACATCGCTTGCTTCTCCATGTTCTCCCAGACCTTTCAGCCGTCTTAGAAGTTGATATTAAAGGACATAAACGAGAATCAAAACCATTGCAGATACCCAGGCTCTCAATGAGATGAAGAAAGGGCGCTGCGTCTTTCAAGGTGGTAAAATTGAGCTTGTCACTGTTAATAAAGGTGTAAGACGATTCCGGCACAAGTTTCCCTTTAGCGCTGACAACAACGGTCGAGTTTTTGTTTATAACGACAGCTCTTTCAATAAAACTACGCCACCAATTTCTTGAAGTTTGTAAAAAACAACACGCTCATCCGTGTGTTGCACACACCATGCTCCATACACGGGCAAGTCTTCTATGCCACCAAACCAATGTTCACCTGTGGAGCTTTCTTTCATGATGACTTCCATGCTTTCAGCATTTGAGGCAGCCCTGTTTTCGTGTTCAAGCATTTCAGTGCACGTCTCACTTTCACTCTGAAGAACTGGGGTAATGTCATCTTCGGCCACTAGCACGCTTGCTGCATTTGTGCCAACATTTTCTACACAAAGCTTCAAATCAAGCTCAGCGCAATTAGCAAAATGCCGCGGTACCGCACCTTTCTTCAGTTCCCAGCGTCCTCGCGGAATCGAGACTGTTTCGCCATTCACAACATGCTGGAAGGAGGTGCAAATGTCCGCTTCATCAAAGTGACGATCACATATGTATGATCTTTGAGTAACTTCGAAGTTTGCACGGCCTGCCGCATTGTTCCACTCCCTCAGCACATTGGGGTCTTTCGGTGGCTTGAAAAAGTGTCGCTGCACGAAGGGCACTTCATTTGACGTTGCCGATGAATATCCACTTCGACAGCCTGGCACAGCACACCTCGGCATGCCGACCGTTCTCCCGAAGGGAGCAAAATTCAACCGCGAACAATTGCTTGCTCAGAGTCACCGTCCGCTTTCTCTCCAGAAAGCAGAACAGCGTAAACATTATCGTCTGCTCTGTCATGGTTGAAATTTAATGCATAAGGTCTGTTACGAAACAACGAGCCAGCCTTTTTTTTATATTTAGGTTACTTAACGATGAGTACTCACCATTATTACCAGCAGGGAAAAAATCGTCTGCAAGCGCAGGCCCTGCTAGCCGCGTCGCTGCTCCGTCTGCTCCGCGCGATGCCGGCTGCGCGGCGGAGAGGTCACGTGACGTGGTCGCAAAGCGATGCCAGCGACACCTGGAATGGGCGACGATTTGCGGCCGCCTCCTCGCGCGAGTTTTCCAACTGTCCTCATCCAGTAACGTTGGTCACGGAGGAAAGAAATATGTTTTTATCTTCCGTGCGTATGTTGTTAAAATAGTACATTTTTCAAGTTTACGGTTATTTTTGAAGTAACTGTTTAATTTTTATTGCTTGCCACATAAAATATATATTGTCGATAAGTATAATAACAGTTTTATTATTGTGGCTAAAGTTGGCGCAGCAGATGCTTCTGAGCTTCTGAGCAGCCAAGGAAGCGAAAAAATAGCGCGGTTGTTGATTGAGCAGTTGCTTGCATGATGCATGCGTCCAATGCATTCTTTGAGAAATTGTTCCCAAGTGCTTATCCGAAACACGCGTGAGTCGTTTGTAAACTTCGAACGCTTGTAAAGGAACATGCGCAAGTCATCAATCCTCCAGCAATCTGCTAATAAGAAGTTTAACAGCCCCTTTCTCAAGCCCCGATCGACTGCTTCACCTGCGATAGAAAAGGTAAATGTTAGGTTAGGTCACGCTTTCGTTGTACGCCCACAACCTTTGCAGGAAATTTAAATTAAGTTCTGGGTGTTTTACCTGCCTAAACGACCGCATGATACGAGACGCGTCGTGGCGGAAAACTCCGCTTTAATGTATACTACATGACGTTTGCGACACCTAACAGAACCTCGCCGGCGTTTCTTTAACGCGCAGCGAAATCTAAGTAGACGGGAGAATGTTCCAGCTCTTCGCATCAATCGAGCACGCGCCCTCGTGAACTTTGCGGAATGTTGAAGTATCAATGGCGAACAATGATCGCATTTGACATTAAGCTGCCCGTGAGTCCATACAACCGTCGTAGCAAGTAGTGTTCCCTGCTTTTCATCTAAACCATGTGGTCACAAATCTCATGCTTAAAAATGGAACGCTTACGTACCTGCTTCCTCGCGGTGGTCGTTATTGTTGCTCTTGCCTCCAACGTATGGCGCATACCCACTAGCTTCTGCCTTGTTACGAGATGTAAACGTAATAGACTAGAATAGAAGTTACGTAATTCCGTGTATTACCGTTAGATATTTATGATTAGCAAATTGGGAAAACATGACTTTCATATTTCATTTTGAAGATTTCATCGAAAACTACTACGCGTGACGCGGCGCAGGGGCAAGGTCTCTGTCTCGACGTCAGAGCGGCCCGCTGCGTGTTAAACGCACCCACCGAAAGACCTTAATAAAGTTGTCCATCTATCCATATAAAGCTACTCGGTTCATGGCCACTCTTATAGTGTGAGTGTCGACCACAAGTTCAAGTACCTACTGCATCATCTTATTGCTCACATAACCCACAGTGGTCCATTGGTGCGAACCCTATCAAGTGAAAATTGGACCACAGTATTCGAGACTGTTAAAGAGTAACATATATTCCGCGCTGCCGCGAGAGACATATCCAGTCACCGAGTGGGAATAAGCTAATTAAATTCTAGTATACTGCAGCGAAACTGTGTTCATAGAAATTCCCAGCGTCACCCACAGCGGTTGTTATGGCGCTCGTATGCCGACCCACAGGTTGCGTGATCGAATCTTGGCCGCATCTTTGATGGGGGCGAAAATGTTTGAGGCCCGTGTACCTAGATTAAAGTGCCTGTTAAGAAATCCCAGGTGGTCGAAATTTCTGAAGCCCTCTGAAATGGCATGTCTCATAATCATATCGTGGTTTTGATATGTAAAACCCCAACAATTATTATTAGATGTCCAGTGCCGCCTCGGTTAGGCTATCAACAAGCGCCATAGCCGAACAAGTTGCTATAGCTTTAGCGATGACCGACCCCTCACTCACTAATGTCTTCACAGACTCTCGCGCCGCCATTCGGGCTTACGAAACCGGCAACATCGCTCCAGAAGCAGCCCGCATTTTACAAACACGGAAATATACGGGCTCGCACTACCTCTCTTGGTTCCCTGCCCACATGGGCAAAGACGTTCACCCACAACAACCCAACCTCAACGAAATGGCTCATGATCGAGCACGAGAACTGACCCACCGTGACGATCAATCAGCCACCGAAGAGCTGGGCCCAGACGTGCAGTTTAATGACCCCACTACTCACCTTCCATGAAATTACCTCCCACTACCGACACAACAGAAGCCGATACCCTTTACCCCATTCAAAACTCGAACGCGCGCAAGAAGTAGCCTTTAGAATGTTACAACGAGATCGTACCCATCACGGGGCCGACTCAGCCATTATAATTCAGACATAAATTCACAGTGCCCAGATTGCACAGAAGTGTACTGTTCACTCGCGCACATGCTCTGGCAATGTCCCGCGTTACCTCAGGGACCTCTCACCAGTGAGTCCGACTGGGAGGAGGCACTCAGGAGCCCCAATCTCCGAAACCAACTTAAGGCAGTCCAGAGGGCCCAAGAACTGGCGGAACGCCACCACGTTCCCGCCCCGACTCGGGCGTCGCCTACGGTAGCGGCTGCTAGGATGTCCCACGTGGGCACCCTGGTGGCTTAAACTCCTCAGGACCATATATTAAAGTTCTTGACTGACTGACTGATGTCCAGTGCTAATTGGAGCACCATCAGCTGTCCTCAGGAGATACAGATGGTGAAAATTGTGGAGTACACTGCACCACCGACAGTCATTGTCACCATCAGCATGTGCCCATCGGATGCGATTGAGATATCTTGTAGATCATTGCTAGAGGAACAACTGTTGAAAAATGAACGTCATTGAATGAAGAATGATTGTCATGTTTGCTTTGCGTGATGTAGTCTACGAGAGCGCCAGCTTGCCGTTGGCTCCATTACCTCGAGTCCACCAAGCTTGTTGGCTTGCTAGAGACTAAGGTCATCCTTCATGACTGTGCAATGCTTTACCCTTGTAGGTTCAGCAAGACATTCACATTGCTGCGACTGGATCCGACAATGTGGTTCGGAAAAGAAGTATCAGTGATATCATGAACCTTGTTAACCAACCACAACCACCTCAAGATGCTGTGAAGAAGGTCTGCATTGAGCATTCACGTTCTGTGATACCAAGCCCCAGCTTTGGCTCACCACATGATGAGAGCTGTCACAAAAGGTAGCTAATTAGTTTCAAATCTTGCATTAAAATGGTTTAACTTTGACATTGCTCACAGTATTCATCATGCATACTCTGTGGCAATCGTAGTACACTGAGATCTTCTAATGTAATATTTTTGTGTGAGAAATGTACCACACAGATGAGCCACTTGAGACTTTCTTTTATTCAAGCTTTCTTCTGCCATGAACAAAAATACTTTATGTAGCAATTAGGGAGCAATTAATAGTTGGATCAGACAGTTTTTCAATCAACCAATTGAACTTTATTTTCATGAAAAGAATAAACAAATATGATTTAGACCAATAGCCTAATGGGGCTAGTGGCTGGTCCTTTACAATGTGCAACTAAGAATGTACAGGTCAGCTTTAAAGGAAGAAACAAAAACAACCATATAAATACAGACATTTCCTCTTGCAAACATGCATACTCATTAGCTTGTAACCAGCTTGCTATACACAGGCACTCATTTAAAAAGTGACACGATGAAAACCAAACAAACATACACACAGGCTTAGGTGTCTTGACTCGATAGAAAAAATGACTTCCACACATTAGGCCAAATTACATGCAGTTTTAATCTCCAGGAGAATCGTATTCCATATTTTTGTTCCGTTAAATTTCATCAGTCTCTCTCCATAAAAATTGCAAAATTTGGGCACATTAAAATTGCCATCAGGAGTATGTTGTGTATTGTGTATAGGAATTGAAAGAAAAAAAAGATCAGGTGGCAAAGGTCAATTTAAATTAATTATATTCTTTATGGAAACAAGATGGCCTGCAATTTTATCACTGAAGCCTACATCCTGATTATAATATTTGAGAAGTTGATTAATTTTATAATTGGATAAAATATAATTTCACCCACTTTAAGCAATGGCAAACATAATCACCTTAGTCCTGTCCAACTGTGTGGCACTTCTATATTTTAAAAATTTTGGTCTACTTTGGGCTACCATGTATATCTATGAATATCTATAGAAGCCACCTGTGTATGGCATGTCATATGTTCTTGGTAGGTTGGTCAGGTATTGCAATTGTCGTTTAATTACTTTTCAGGATTTCGAAGAATCGCTGCATGAAACAGTCATAATATGTTTGATTTGTAGCAAATAACTTCTATCTAAATATCCTGAGATAAAATAAATATTCCAAACAAATGTTAGGGTTGGCAATCTGAAAGCGATGCAATTTCATTGGTGCAAGCTTTGTAGCTCTTCAGGACATAGCCGTACTGGCAGAATACCACTACAAGCCTTACATGTTGTGGTAAAGTTCTTAAAGGGTGCTATATTTTGACACACCACTGTGTGCTCCAGCGTATGTTGCACCCACGCTTAGTGCACTGCCTGAGGAATTCAAATGCATTGCTAATTCTTGCTGTTGCTGTCAGTGTGCCCTTCGTGTAAGACGGCCCTTCGTGTAACACGGCCTTAGTGGTCAAAAGATCCACCGTACATAATTGTGTGGCTCTGTCAGTTGCACAGTGTCAAAGAGTAGTTGCCACGTTGCCATGGCAAATAGCGACATTTGTAGAGTGCACATCGATGCTGTATATGACAATGTTGCCGCTTCATAGATCCACTTGTGATAACAACACACAAGTAGCTTTACATTCATACTTCTCTTCGTTTTCTTTTATTTTGCATACCTCTTTCATTTTTTCATTCCTGCTGCACAAGGTAGCCAACCTCTGAAGAACTTGCCCATCTTTCCTTTGCTTTACCTTGATCTCGTTAACTCATTTACAACAATCTAGGAGTTCTTAGTTTTACATGTAGGTTTTCAGAATTGTTTGTTGTCACTGTCAGGCAGAGCGAACATCCCCACTGAACTATCTTTGAAGTTTGGTCATTCACCTGATGTTAACATTGATGCAGTCCGTCAGCGCCTCCAACACCACCAAAGAGTATAGGAACACAGTTACCCCTGTCTGATGCATCAGGAGCGAGTACAAACGCACGTTACTACAGTGTTGTCTGGTGCAAGAAGTCCATGAAGAAAGTGAGTTTTGCTCCCATTTTATGGTGCAGTGTTGTTGAAGAATGTTGAATGGCAGAAATATTTATACAATAATTGTTCTTTTCTTGTACAGCATAAGAAGTGGGAGGGTGATGGTGAGTAGCAGCACTCTATTTAGTCTGCATGCCTTAATGACTTTGTTGGAGTTGGTGCATTTTAGAAGTTGCTTATAGGCACAATGCATCTGCTGGTGTTTACTTCAGTGATCTCAAGCACTTGTCCCACAGTCCCCATTCGTTTTGGTTGTCGCCCACGCCACTTGCAGCTGGCTTTGTCCCATATGTGCCATACTATTCTAATAAGCATGTTTATAGGCTACACAGATTGCACTAGTCTCAATGCGTTAGAACTGTGGAGCAAAAACTTTATTTGCACAATCAACCTGGTGATTTCAGTCATTCTGAGGACCAGCACATATATACATATATGCTTCTTGACACGTGAAACATGGACGTCGAATTTCCTTGGAAATCAACCCATATATATGTGTGTATATATATATATTGTTAAGGCGTTTATTAGCCGGCAACGAGCGAGAATATAAATGGCGACAGTCACAGCCAAGCACGGCTCTCAGCGCGAGCGGCGTCCTTGTTGGGTAGCCCCACTAGAAGGTACTCAAGAGTTCGACCCAATTTCATAGTTCGGAGGCTTCGCTACAATTACCCCGGGGTCGAAGAGGGAGCCGCCCTGGCGACCTAACAGCTGTTATTATGAGCGGGTCATAATAAGCCTTCAGGCGTCCACGTTGACGATGTCTCGCCACGGCGGCGCATGTCCGAGATTGGTTCAACGGGTTCGATCAGATAGTTGCGGGTGAGGTGCGCTCGATGACACGGTAGGGGCGTTGTATTTGGGACGTAGTTTGGAAGAGAGGCCAGCGGCAGAGGTCGGGATCGGAGCCATACAAGCGCACCAGGAAGGAACGTGGGCTCAGAAGTGGTGGAGCCATCACGGATACTCTTCTGCCGCTCTTGCTCTTGCGTCGTAAAAGTCTTGGCAAGCTCGCGACACTCTTCAGCAGCCTGGCGTTCCTCGGAAATAGGTGTACACTCAGATGGATCCGGCGTGTACGGGAGTATCGTGTCCATGGTTGTGCGACGGGTGCCTTCCGTACAGCAAGTAGAAAGGGCGAAAAACCAGTCGTGCTCTGAGGGGCGGGGTTGTAGGCTAGGTGACGAAGGGCAGTATATTATCCCAATTAGTGTGGTTGGCAGCGACGTACATAGAAAGCATGTCGCCGAGGGTGTGATTAAAGCGTTCGATGAGGCCATTTCGTCTGTGGGTGGTAAGCAGTAGTTTTGCGGTGGACAGAATGCACTCCGTCAGAATGGCTTCGACGACTTCCGACAAGAAGACACGGCCTCGATCGCTGAGAAGCTCTTGGGGTGGTCCGTGGCGCAGTATAAATCGATGCAGCAGGAAGGACGTAACATCGCGCGCAGCAGCCGCAGGGAGAGCGGCGGTTTCGGCGTATCGCGTTAAATGGTCAACGGCAACGATGGCCCAGCGGTTACCAGCCGACGTCAGAGGAAGTGGTCCATACAAATCGATACCTACGCGCCCAAAGGGACGGTCAGGGCAAGGCAACAGTTGTAGACTGGCGTGTGACATGTGGGCTGACGGTTTACGGCGTTGGCAAGTGAGGCAAGAGCGAACGAACTGCTGCACATAGCGGTACATCCCGCGCCAGAAGTAGCGTTGTCGAATGCGATGGTAGGTTTTGAATAGCCCAGAGTGCGCGCATTGCGGATCAGAATGAAAGGATTCACATATCTCTGACCGCAGACTGCGGGGTATCACGAGTAACCACTGCCGGCCGTCGGCGTCGTAATTGCGTCGGTGTAGGAGGCCGTCACGAATGGCGAAATGGCGAGCTTGACGATGCAATGCACGCGTGGATGGCGTTGCGGATGGATCAGAGAGCATGTCGATGAGCGGGCCGATCCAATTATCCTTTCGCTGTTCGGTAGCGATGATGTCAACATCAATGGCAGAAACAGCAGCCGAGGATACTGAGCAGAGCACATCACCTTCAGGCAGAGGGGAGCGCGAGAGGCGTCCTTGTTGGGTAGCCCCACTAGAAGGTACTCAAGAGTTCGACCCATTTCATAGTTCGGAGGCTTCGCTACAATATATATATATATATATATATATATTATAGATATATATATATAGAGAGAGAGAGAGAGAGAGAGAGAGAGGGTGTAAAATTAAGGGCGCGTTTTCGGTGTTTGACAAAATATTATGAGATCTAACAAACATAATGCCAAGGAAAGTATACAGGGAAAGTTATTAGACCGATTCGGAATTGTAATGTAACTGTGAAGAAAGAAAAGTGGTTAAAGATAACTTGCGTGGGCAGGAACCAAACCTGCGCCTTCAAATAGTTCCATATATTGCCACCTACTTCTAGTAGTGGGTCGTATGCCAAGGTGAAGGCACACACCACAGAGAAGAAAGAAGTGCGCGTGGGCCGCTCTGGCAAACAAGCCCAACCGACCCGCTTGGTTAGAGCCCTGTTGCTCAGACGTCATTAAACCTTGTCGACACCTGGAGCGATGTGACAATTGGTGGAGGTGCTGGGAAGCGGCACCACAAGCCCAGTGCGAGTCAACACTTCCGTTCATCGGACAAGCCGCAGGATCAGGGGATTACCACCCGAAACTGACCTTACAGTTCACACCAGTATGATGAGCATGTCCGTTCGAACCACTTTAACAGGTACAGAAAACCCCCCGGTCACACGGTACACCCTCGAAAGTCCACAGGTTCCGACACCGTTTCATGGCACCGATCTCGAAGACGTCGAGGACTGGTTGGTTGACTTCGAGCGCGTGGCTGCTTTGAACGACTGGAACGATGCGGCCAAACTACGGCGTGTGTACTTCTATTTGGAAGATGGAGCACGTACCTGGTAAATGAATCACGAGGAACAGATGACATCGTGGCCCGAATTCCGCCGCCGGCTGTTGGATACTTACAGAAGTGCTGATCGCCACGAACGAGCGGAGCGAGCGATCCAGGCCTGCATCCAGATGCCCAATGAAACTGTCATGACCTATGTGGAAGATATGATGCGCCTGTTCCGACGGGCTGATCCGAGTATGACAGAAGAAAAGAAGTTGCGTCAATTGATGCGGGGAGTTAAGGAGCGGCTTGTCGCTGGCCTTGTACGGAGCCCTCCGAACACGGTCGCCGAGTTTTTGTCCGAAGCCGTCACGATGGAAAAGATGCTTCAGCATCGATCCACCCTGTATGAGCGGCAAGTGAACACGTACACTGCTCAAGTTCTCACGACTATTAGGAGCAACACCGAGTGTTTGCGCGACCTTATCCGCTCTATAGTACGCGAGGAGCTGCAAAAGGCTGCCACACCACCACTACCTACGATGAGTTCCATTGCAAGCATTGTCAAGGACGAGCTGCATCGGGCCCTTCGTGACCCTGTGAGTCTGGATAACGCCACACCCGCCCCGGCTGACTACTACCGTGCGACCTATGCGGAAGCCTTGGAGCGCCCAGGTTCCTCTTCCTCGCTGTTTGTTCAGGCACCTCCTACGGTTTCACTTCAGTCGGCGCAGCCTCTACGGTACTATGAGAACACACGCACGCCCCCACCCCTTGTTTAAGCCAGCCCTGTGAATCTTGCGGAACAACCAGCACACTACCTTGACGACAGACGCGCTTCGCCTCGGAAATTTGATGTTTGGCGCTCTCCTGATCGCCGACCTCTGTGCTTCCACTGCGGTGAAGCGGACCATTTGTACCGCCAGTGTCCATACCGGCGCCTCGGGCTGCACGGCTTTTCAGTATATCCAGCGCTTCCTCGGTATGGCCAGCAACCCCGGCACATTGAGGACTACCTGACTCAACAGCGCATGCCACCGCCTTTTGGACGGCAGTCGCGCTCACCGTCGCCGAGGCGATTTTCATCTTCGCCACAGCGCCATGCTGGCGCACGGTCCCCCAATCCCCGCCGGGAAAACTAACGCAAGCGACCCTTAGAGGCAAGGTCGCTGGCAGTCGACGTGCTGAAGACCTTCGATCGACGCTAACAGTAGAGGGTGTAGATTCGACTGAGTGATATGTGCGGCTTTCTCTTGATATACCGGTGCTGATGGACGGCTATGCAGTAGGTGCCTTAGTTGATACCGGGGCTGACTATTCGATACTAAGCAGGAAAATGACCAGATTACTAAAGAAGGTAATCACGCCCTGGCATGGCTCCGTGATTCGAACGGCTGGTGGCCACACCGTCTCTCCGCTTGGAACCTGCACGAGTAGAGTTCGGGTCTGCGGTTATACTTTTGTAGCAAGTTTCCTTGTGCTCCGTGAATGTTCACGCGACGTAATTCTTAGTGTTGACTTACTGCAGGAGTATGGAGCTGTCATTGATCTTCAAGAGAATCGCATCACCTTCTCAGCCGACCGAGCAATCGACAAGCAGGACGACCAACAACATACCGACGTTCTTCATGCTTCTTCTGAAAGTATAATGCTTCCTCCAAGAGCCAGTGTTATAGTCGACGTCACGTGCTGTGGATTGCGAAATGGTGAAGCGATTGTAGAAAGTAATTTTGAACACCTGCTGACTCAAAGTGTTTGTGTGGCTAGGAGTATCATACAGCTACGTGATGGCCGATCTCAACTGCTCGTTACAAATTTCAGCAACGAACACCAACACCTTTTCCGTGGCACTTCGTTAGCGTTTGCAGATGAATTAGGAACCGTTCCCATGTGCTTCTCGTCGGATGCAGTGGAGGCTGCCGATACGTCTCTAAACAATTTCGATATTAATTCTAACCTCACACCAGAAAACCAGACAGCACTGCGAAAACTCTTGCTTGAATTCAAGTCATGCTTCGCTGCTCCCTGTAAAGTGCGCCAGACTTTGATCACTAGGCACAGAATCATCACTTACGACAACGCCCGCCCAGTACACCAACAGCCTTACCGCGTGTCAGCGAAGGAACGAGAAGCCATTCGTACGCAAGTTCGAGAAATGCTTGACGACGGCATCATCGAGCCTTCCAACAGTGCGTGGTCCTCTCCGGTCGTCCTAGTCAAGAAGAAAGATGGAACGCTATGTTTT